AAACCCTAAACCCTAAACCCTAGCGTGCAGAGGCAGTTTGCTTTCGAAACTTGAGCCTGCAGACCCCAACCCTAAACCCTAAACCCTAAACCCTAGCGTTGAGATCCAACCCGAAGCTCTAAACCCTAGCTCGCAGGCTCTAAACCCTAAACCCTAAACCCTAAAGGAGAAGAAGAGAAAAGCGAATTTAAATCTTGCGGATTTGCGGTGTATGTACACCTGAGCGCAGATTGTCAAGGAGCTGCGGCCGCCCCAAGAAATAAAACAAGTTAGTTTTTTTTCTTTTTTAATTCTTTTTTGTTTTTTTGTCTTCTTTTAATCCCTTTTATCTTCTTTTTAATTCTTTTTGATCTATTTTAATTTCCTTGTAGTCCCTTTTTATCTCCTTTTGTTTTTTTAATCTTTTATGATCTTTTTTTGCTTTTTTAAAACATTTTTCATCTTTTTTTGTTTTTTTTAAATCCTTTTTGATCTTTGTTGATTTTTTTATAGGACTTTTTAAACCTCATCAGCGAATTGGCCGCCTCGCGCTCGCCAGCCTCCCCAGATTCCAGCAAACACCAGCTAGCCAGCTAGCTAGGTAGCTAGCTAGCTAGCTACCTAGCTAGCTGGCCCGTTTTTAGCTGGCTAGCTAGCTGGCCAGCTAGCTGGCTAGCGAGCTTTCTGGCTAGCTGGTTACGTAGGTAGCTAACTGTGTAGAGAGCTGGCCACTTGGCGAGCTAGCTAGCCAGCTAGAAAGCTGGCTAGCTTGCTTTCCATCTGGCTAGCTAACTAGCTTGCTGGTTGGCTAGCTAGCTAGCTAGCTAGCTAGCTAGCTAGCTAGCTGGCCAGCTACCTACGCAGCTTCCCCCCAGCTGCTTCTTAGGTAATATTCAGGCAGTGATCTACGTGCCTCAGCCTCTTGCGGACTCCCCAGCCAGCTAGCTAGCTGAGAAGTGGCTAGCTAGCTAGCTAGCTAGCCGCTTAGCTAGCTAGCTAGCTAGCCGCTTAGCTAGCTAGCTAGCTTCTTAGCTAGCTAGCTAGCCGACTGCGCAATCTTCAAGCCCACGCTGAAACGTCCAGGTGCAGCAGCCATACTAGCCTGTAGTGAAGCAGCAGCAGCAGCAGCAGCAGCAGCACAGGCAGCACTATCGGCAGCAGCTGCTGCTGCAGTAGCAGCAGCAGCAGAAGCAGCTGCAGGACCAGCAGCAGCCGTAGCCGCAGTAGCAGCAGCAGAAGTAGCAGCAGCAGCAGCAGCAGCAGTAGCAGCAGCAGCAGCAGCAGCAGCAGCAAGGGCCTCCTCACCTATTAAGACTATCACAGATAAGGAAGCAGCAGCAGCGGGGATCATAAGACTTAAAAAGGCGGAGGGGCCCCCCTTGGGGGCCCCCCTGATGGGGGGCCCCCTGATGGGGGCCCCCCTGATGGGGGCCCCCATTAGCGAGCCCCACAATTTCAAAGGCCCTGCTGTCCACCTCTAGGGTTTTTGCTGCAGTCTTCCTGCAGCTGCAGCAGCAGCAGCAACAGCAGCAGCAACAGCAGCAGCAGCAGCAGCAGACACAACAAAAAGATCGGCTCACACCTACTGCATTTGGAATAGTAGCAGCTGCTGTTGCTGCTGCTGCTATTGCTGCTCCTACTTTCTAAATGCAGTGCCTGCGCAAGCGTCGCTGCAGAAGCAGCAGCAGCAGCAGCTGCTGCTGCTGCTGCTACAGCAGCAGCTGCTGCTGCTGCTGCTGCAGCAGCAGCAAGTGGAGTGAGTCAGCTGCTGCTTCACCTGACGAGCTGTTTATAGAGCGCCGAGCCCACATGAAGGTATGGCTGCACACACAGCAGCAGGCAGAAGCATTTGCTGCTGCAGCAGTTGCTGCTGCTGCTGCTGCTGCTGCTACAACCGCAGCAGCAGCAGCAGTAACAATAGTAGTAGCAGCAACAGAAGCAACAGAAGTACAAGGAACAACAGCTCAAACCCCGAACCTGCAAAGGACCAGCAGCAGGAGGAGCAGCAGCAGCGGCAACAGCAGCAGCAGCAGCAGCAGCGGCAACAACAGCAGCAGCTGCTGCTGCTGCTGCTCTGTGTTTGGTGGGGCTGTACTTTAATGTTGTCCTCATGCTGGTTGAGTGCCCCTCCTGAGAACAAGCACATGACCTACTCTTACTGCTGCTGCTGCTGCTGCTGCTGCTGCTGCTGCTGCTGCTGCTGCTGCTGCTGCTGCTGCTGCTGCTGCTTGTTGTGACCTTTTGAGGGTTTTCTGTACTTCTTATTTGTTATTGAGAAGTGCATTTTTACCCAAAGCTAATAAGGCGA